CCAGTTTTTTTCGAACAGTTAAGTTCCTATGTCTCTAGTGAGTATTTATTATAGATTATTATTAGCACAGATTTGTATTAGTATATTTGCTTAAAATATTTATGCTTAATATCAGTCATGCCTCAGGTTTTGCTCGTTGCCGTTACTTTGGAGCGGAATGCGACGGAATCTTTGCATAGTGGTCAGCATGGTTATTTTTGCCTAGCTGATGATCTATCGGATCACAGTTTATAAATCTATTATGTCATTGAAATAAGCAAAACAAGCAGACGACCTTCAGCAAACGTTCTGTTGTGGCTGTTTCTCTTCAACAAATGAGACTGCAGAAAACGGAAAACACATATGGTGGTAATTGCAGTATGAAACATTGTTTCAGAAGTGGAACAGTTTTCGTCCACTCTTGGGTGTTTAATTATTTGTTATTGCCACTGCTGTTTGGCTGAAATCTCAGTGATGCTGTTTCTGCTGATGACTCTCCAATCCTAGATTCAACTGAAAGAACGCGATACAAAGTTAAGATGAACTTAAAACGCACTGCTCTCCTTTTTATACGAGGGTGTTTTCGTACATTACAGTGCCGCTCTAATTATTTATGCGTATCATGCCTGTTTATCCCTGTTTACCATTATGACAGTCTTCCACTTCATTAACTCTGACGAACTGCAGGTTTCCTTACGCTACTTACTAGAATTTAAGTATATCTTAACGGAAAGGCTATCCGTATTTGGGAGTCAAAAGAACAGTAGACGAATTTCTTGGTGTTGACGATCAATTTAGCGTTCGTCACCTCTGTGAGCATATCTGAAACTTGAACAACAGATCAGTAATAATTATGCAGTTATTAGTTCTCAAACAAGTTAACAGCCTCGTCCTTATAGTTGACTCACTTAATGGCAGCATTCACTGTTCAGCCTCACATGTACAAAGAGTAACGAAACGTTGGGAAAAGCACTAAGCTGACCGTAACCATAACTAAAGTGAACATGCCCTATAGGTGTGAAGCTTGCATTTCACTTTAGAGGTGTTGGATTTAAGTCTTATGTACGGGGTAAGGTTTCGAACTAACCTTTGACTTCCTTTGAACAAGAAATGCACCTTGCATTGCTTTGTTGCAGTCAGTCGAGAAATAGGTAACAAATGCTTGAACAGCGGGGACAGCTTGATGTTCTCGTGTAGTTAGTTATGCCCAACGTGTAAGACGTGCGGCCATGCCGGAATGGGCCGATTCGGCGCTAACTTGCTAACCAGTACTTGCGCTTTAGGGCTACAGTTTGCTCTGACGATAGCTGTCTAAAGGTAATAATCTGCAGAAGGCATGAACAATATTTTTAGTGTATGCTTAAACGTTGCTCTCTTTACATCTTCCATAAATATTT